GTAGGGAGGTTGGGGGATTAATTTTTTTTTTTTAAACGTGTGTTAGTGTGTGTGTGTGTCTGTTAGAGTGTGTGTGTGTGTTAGAGTGTGTGTGTGTTAGAGTGTGTGTTAGTGTTAGAGTGTGTATGTGTTAGTGTTAGAGTGTGTGTTAGAGTGTGTGTGTTAGTGTTAGAATGTGTGTGTGTGAGTGTGTGTGTGTTAGTGTTAGAGTATGTGTGTATGTTAGAGTGTGTGTTAGTGTTAGAGTGTGTGTGTGCTAGTGTTAGAGTGTGTGTGTTAGTGTTAGTATGTGTGTGTGTGTTAGAGTGTGTGTGTTAGTTTTAGAGTGTGTGTGTTAGTGTTAGAGTGTGTGTAAGAGAGTGTGTGTGTGTAAAAGTGTGTGTGTGTGTGAGTGTGTGTTAGAGTGTGTGTGTTAGTGTTAGAGTGTGTGTGTTTTAGAGTGTGTGTGTTAGTGTGTGTGTTAGTGTTAGAGTGTGTGTGTTAGAGTGTGTGTGTGTTAGTGTTAGAGTGTGTGTATATGTGTGTTAGTGTTAGAGTGTGTGTGTGTTAGTGTTAGAGTGTGTGTGTTGGGGTGTGTGTGTGTGTGTTAGGTGTGTGTTGAGTGTGTGTGTGTGTGTGTGTGTGTGTGTAGGGTGTGTTAGGTGTGTGTGTGTGTGTTAGTGTGTGTGGGGAGTGTGTGTGTGTTAGTGTGGAGTCGTGTGTGTGTTGGGTGTTGGTGTGTGTGTGTTAGAGTGTGTGTGTTGGGTCAATAGGTGGTGGTGTTAGGTGTGTGTGTGTTGGGGTGTCTGTGTGTGTTGGTGTGTGTCATTGGGTGTGTGTCTGTGTTAGTGTTAGGTGTGTGTGTTTTTAGAGTGTGTGTGTTGGTGTGTGTGTTGGGTGTTGGGGGTGTGTGTGTGTTGGTGTTGGGGTGTGTGTATATGTGTGTATTAGTGTTAGAGTGTGTGTGTGTTAGTATGTGTTTGTGTGTTAGTGTGTGTGTGTACTAGTGTGTGTGTGTGTTAGTGTGTTTGTTAGTGTTAGAGTGTGTGTGTGTGTGTTAGAGTGTGTGTGTGTGTGTTAGTGTGTGTTTGTGTGTTAGTGTGTGTATTAGTGTTAGTGTGCATGTTAGTGTCTGCTAGTGTGTGTCTGTGTTAGTGTGTGTGTGTGTGTTAGTGTGTGTATTAGAGTTAGAGTGTGTGTGTGTGTTAATGTGTGTGTGTGTGTGTTAGAGTGTGTGTGTGTTAGTGTGTGTTAGTGTTAGAGTATGTGTGTGTTAGTGTCAGTGTGTGTGTTAGAGAGTGTGTGTGTGTTACAGTATGTGTGTGTTAGAGTGTGTGTTAGTGTTAGAGTGTTTGAGTGTGTGTGTGATAGTGTTAGAGTGTGTGTGTTAGTGTTAGAGTTTGTTTGTGTGTGTGTGTTAGTGTGTGTGTTAGTGTTAGAGTGTGTGTGTGTATGTGTTAGAGTGTGTGTGTGTTAGAGTGTGCGTGTGTTAGAGTGTGTGTGTGTTAGTGTTAGAGTATGTGTGTGTGTGTTAGTGTTAGAGTGTGTGTGTGTTAGTGTGTTAGAGTTTTTGTGTCAGTGTGAGTGTTAGTTTGTGTGTGTCAGTGAGTGTGTTACTGTGTGTGTTTGTTACTTAGTGTGTTAGTTTGTGTGCGTCTGTTAGGTGTCTGTTAGTGAGTGTGTGTTTTGTAAGTGAGTGTGTATGTGTCTGTCAATGAGTGTGTATGTGTCTGTCAGTGAGTGTGTATGTCTGTCACTGAGTGTGTGACTGTTTGCCTGTAATTTGTGTGTGTAACAGATTCCCAGCACACTGGACCACCAGAGATCAGCATGGCTTCCTATCTGCAAGGTACCAACAGGGAAGGGAGAATTAATGATTTTTGAAAAGATAATTAATTTAGTAAATCCCCTTTAGAAATACTACACCCCTATACACACACACACACACACACACACACACTATACATGATGAAGAGGTATGATCTGGGGGAGAGGAAGGGGAGCTGTGTATTTTTTTCGCACAGGGCACCTAATAGTCTAAGGCCGGCCCTGGTCGTCTTGCATGTGCCGCTCGTTTGATATCTTTTCAGAGTGGCTCGATGACATGAAGGTCAGGAGACTGTGATGGCTACACCAGAACCTTCACCTTTTTCTGCTGTAACCACTGGAGGGTCAACTTGGCCTTGTGCTTAGGGTTATTGTCATGCTGGAAAGCCCAAGAGCATCCCATATGCAGCCTTCGTGCAGAAGAATGCAAATTGTCTGTCAGTATTTTCTGATAACATGCTGCATTCATCTTGCCATTAATTTTCACAAGATTACCCGGACCTTTAGTGCTCACACCCCCCTAAAACATCAGTGAGCCAGTACCATGCTTCACAGTGGGGATGGTGTGCTTTTCACTATAGGCCTTGTTGACCCCTCTCCAAACACAGCACTTATGGTTGTGACCATAAAGCTCCATTTTGGTCTCATCACTTGTCACTTGTTAAGGTGTTGTTGGACATATTGTAACCAGGCTTTTTTGTGGCATTGGCGCAGTAAAGGCTTCTTTCTGGCAACTTGACCATGCAACTCATTTTTGTTCAAGTATCGTCGTATTGCGCTCTTTGAAACAACCTCACCATCTTTTTCCAGAGCAGCCTGTATTTCTCCTGAGGTTACCTGTGGGTTTTTCTTTGTATCCCAAACTATTCTTCTGGCAGTTGTGGCTGAAATATTCCTGGGTCTAGTCTACCTGACTAGAGAGAGATACTTCTTAATAAGTGAACAGCACTGACTGGAATTTTCAAGTTATGTATATTCAGTATGTATGTATGTCAGTAAGCATGTCTGTGTGTGTGTGTGTGTGTGTGTGTATGTATGTATCTATCTATCTGTATGTATGTCAGTATGTGTCTGTCTGTGTGTATGTTTTTCTGTCTGTGTGTATGTATGTATGTGTATGTATTTCAGTATGTCAGTATGTGTATGTATGTCTGACTGTCTGCGTGTATGTATTTATCTGTATGTATGTGTATGTATTTCGGTATGTATGTATCTGTATGTATGTGTATATATATGTCAGTATGTATGTGTATGTATGTGTATGTATATGTCTGTCAGTATATATATTGTCTGTCAGTATGTATGTGTGTGTGTATGTATGCCCTTATGTGTGTGTGTGTGTGTCTGTATGTATGTATGTTAGTATGTGTGTGTGTGTCTGTAAATGTCTATGTGTCTGTTTTAGTATGTATAGGAATTCGTTCATAGTTTTTTCAAACTATAGTCAGGCCCCCAACAGTGTCTGAGGGACAGTGAACTGGCCCCCTGTTTAAAAAGTTTGAGGATCACTGGTTTAAGTTATCTGTATCTGCTGGAAGTGCAAACCACACGCTCCTCCACTGGACCACCGTGTATTTGGTCAGCAGGTATCATACCTTTATTGGATAACCAGATGTGGTTATCAGTACCACAGGGCCACCCGGTATTATAACCCCCTCCCTGCAGAAAGGTAAGCAGGTAAGGGTTTTTTGTTTTTAAACTCACAGACAATCACCACACACAAACACACTCAACAACCACACACACAATAACCCGCATAGAACTCCACACACAATCACTCCACTACCACTTCATTAACAGAAGTTAATCTACTTAGCACAATAGATAAAACTCAAGTCATCTATGCCATAGCTGGGTAAAGTAAGAAACCAAATGTATGGCCAAAATAGTCAAATCATACAAAAATATATACATCAGATATGCATCTAGTTCAACTACTTGGCTCTTAAATTTGAAATTTACTTAGCATTTTCACTTTAGTGAATACACCTGTCATATTTATTAAATGCACAAACTACCATGCAGCGGTAACACCATAAGAATTCTCAGTGGACCTCATAGGTGAGTTCGGTAGCTCTATTTGGGGGTAAGCTGATAAAACAAAGACTGAACATATCTATGTCCTGGGTGTGGTATAACTCCCTTAAATTCAGCAGGTTATGTAGGACATTATTTGTCTGTAAAATGTAATAGATCGCCAAAGATGATAAGTATCTGGCTGTTATCTAGGAAAAAATGTACGTTAAGCCATTATTATAATTTCTTAATGCATTTTTTTCCACAAGCCCATGAATGTTTTTCCACCTCTTATAACGCTCTGTCTTATCAATGTATCTGTAAAGAAACAAGGTCAGATAACTTGTTCAATGCAATATGTTCTCAGAAACTGACAAAATGTGCAAAATTCGTAGAACTGAATATTTTATGGGCATTAACTTAAGATAACAAGTAAGGAAAATTCCTTATCAAGGAAAAGATGCATGAAAAGTTTATTGCCCCCTCTTTCACTTCATCCATGCATTATTTACAATATGAAGACATTTATCTTCACAAATAACCACCAATACCAACATTTTATGAGGAAAGACGTACTTTTTAAATGTTTGAAATTATCTATCTACACAGATGCTAACACACTCACAGGGCCTCTGTCATTTGAAAACACAAGCCAAACATGTAAATAAAATCCTCCACATGAATTCCGTTGTATTTTTTTTTTAAGCAATGAACTACCATGAGCAAGTGTGTTGGGGGACTTACACACATACATAGCAAAATTTGGAGATTATAATGAAAATGTCTCAAAAATGGTCCTGCTAGAAACCTCTATATTTCAGGCACTGCCTGCTCTTCTTTGTATTGTTTCTTTACTAGGTCTTGCTAAACTTGTTATTTTAAATAAGTAATAATGTATATGAGCCAAATCTCCAAAATTTTCCATGCATATTTCATGAAATTGAAGTGAAGCCAAATGCACAATTTATCAAGAATGCTTAAGAATGACTGTACTCCAGGTCAAACTGTTCATTTATCTCCAGGTCAATAACATTAATGTTGGTGATAAGATTACTGCACAGGGATTGGTCAGGAGCAACTGTTTCTACGGGGGAGGAGTTTGTTACTCTCCCGCTTTAAAACCCTCGGGGTACCTGACCTGACCACATCACAGCTGGATACCCAACAGCAGCACAAACATGTCTTTCACTGGAAAGTATGAGCTGGAAAGCCAGGAGAACTATGATGATTTCATGAAGCTTATTGGTAAGTCATTGTTCAATAACCTATATATGTAACATCATAGTATCTATATCCTTTCATGAAAATATATAAAATGTATCATTAATACACTTTTACAATGAAACTGTTGGGGTTTATTAATTAAACTGGAAATTGTAAAAAAGAAAATGACAATGAACGTGCACATTTTATACTAAAATAGGTAACATTAAAAATTGCTGGTTTGAGTGTTTTTTTATTTTATTTTATTTTTAGACCAGTAGCGCATTTGTATCTTCCATTTTCTGTGATACTGCTTGTAATGCAAAATAACTTAAATGTTAAATGAATTGATTGATACTAGTATATATTCTTGCTTTTAAATATAATTTGGGGGATCATGGATTTACCAAATTATTTTATGCAGAGAGCATGTTTTGCCAATGTGGAATAAATGTTTAAGAAAATACCTAAACAAGGGGTGATAGTCTTTGAATGTCCCATATGCATGACCACATTTTGGCCTTTCTTTTTTTTTCCTTTCTCTTTTAGTTGTTTTTTTTTTAAGACAATACAATATGGAAATAAAACAGCTCCCAGTGGGTGAACCTCTCCTAAATCCAGAGAGCGTAGCAGGAACAAATCAAGCTCTTACAAGGGCTTCCTCTGGGGAGTAAGTGATTATAGCAATTCCCAGAGTGTAGCTATCCCTTCCCCCAAGCATGAGCCAAGGCTTCAAGAAAGGTGCAAGTAGGTCTGGTTTATTGAGGGCTGCCTGCCTGGTATTTATGCAAGTGTCCACCAAGTGGACACTCCCCTAGGGGACCTGATGGAACAATGGGACACATATTGGATATTAGCCAATCACAGACAATACAAACAAAACACTCCCACAGTGACATCACAATCCCTCCTCACTATCCTCGAGATAATTGGGAAGTAATCAAATTATCTCCCAGGAGAGAGGCAAGACTCCATTAACCACATGGTTGCAAAAAGACATAAAATTACTCAATGTTACAATTACTAAATAAAACATATACATGCAACATATCCCCAGATAGCTTAAATCTGAGCGCACATTATTACCAAATGGCGCTCAGATGACCTACATACAGTTCAATCGCCATGGAGCCAAAGTCTTTTCCATAGTCTTTTGTTACACAAATAGGCTTCATGGCATAAATATCTGGGGCAGCACTACTCACATACTGAAGTCCTGAACTCCCCGGCAGAAATACACAAATAAACCTTTCTGCAGGAGAAAATACAGCTATCAGCACAGGGGCCATAGTCGGAAGGCAGGAGGCTAGCCAGTAGTCCCCTCCAGGCACAAGTGGCAAAGGGCACTTCGTCACATTATTTATACCAGAACCCCCATATGTAATAAGGGTTCTGATGGGGTCATCTAGTGAAGGTAACAAGGGGTAACCCTAGTTATATATTTATAAAAGTGGCAACTTCTGTAGAAATCTGCAATGATTGTAAAAAAAAAGAGGACATACTCGTCACAGATAAAAATGTTTGATAAACTAAAGTACTTTAGAGATCCAGTAGGTTTATTTAAACTTACAAGGCCAGCATATAATATTTTGAAATTTTTTATGAGTGCAATGCACTCTTTCGATTATGTGAGATGTAGCAGCCACAAACAGAATAAACTCCTAGACAAACAAGGCATTTATTTAAAATTGGCTTAGCTTTGAAAGAGTTAAAGATAGTTTTAGCCATGAAAATATGTTGCCTTGTGCAGTGGTGCTTCCATAAGAAAGCTCACAGTTTATTTACAAATCACTTAACCCCTGCTGCGAAGAAATTTAGGGTATTGTACAGCGCTCTCGGTTAAAAGAAATTAGAAATAAGGGAAGGGCCTGCAATTAACTGAAGCAACTAACTTTGTGGTCACTGGAGATTTGCAGCAAATAATGCACAATAACAACTAATAAATTACTGTAATTATGTAATTATTATTATTTTTCAGTAATCCATAATGCATTTATACAAGATAGTCATCTCCAATATAAGTTTTTCTTTATTGTACCTGGTTATCATTTTCATCTGTATAATGACATAGATGGCCATTTTGTTTTTTTAACAGGTATCCCTGCAGAAACCATTGAAAAGGGTAGAAATTTTAAGTTCACCTCAGAAGTTGTCCAGAACGGAAATACATTCACCTGGTCCCAGATCTATCCAGGTCACACTATGACCAACAATTTCACTGTTGGACAAGAGTCTGAAATGCAGACCATGAGTGGCAAAAAGTTTAAAGTAAGTACTTTGTAAAAATCTATTTTTGATATGTGCTTTTTCTCAGGGTTTCGTTTCAGGTGTCACAATGTAATTTTATGCATATGATGACAAGTAAAAATAGGAAGAGACAATCACCTGTGGGTATCACCATTCTAGAAACATACACAACAAAAGAAGAGAGTGGATGGAGCTCTTCAAATAAAACTTGTTATCATCTGTCATGTTATCAACTAGTTGTACCTGAGTACAGACAGATGATAAGTTTTATATAAAACGCTCCACACACTCTTTTCTCATGGAATGCCAAGTGTATGTGTGAGCTCTCGTTAATTGATTCCCATTACATATATCCATGTGATACCATGTGTAGGCATTTGCCATGCTTCTCCCATTTGGTATGAGTGTGGTTACTTTCCAGTTGCTGCAGAGGATAAATAATTTAATTGTGATTGACTGCCAAAAACTGAAAATTCGAGATGAAGAGTTTTTTTTTTAGTTCATGACTTTTTAATGTTGTATTATGAGTATATAGAGTCTACTAAAAAATCTAAACTAATCTGCCAGAAATATTTACTTCATATTTTAATAGACTCCCCAAAGATCATAAGCACTATCACTTATTATGGCCTTGATTTAATATTTTTGTATAAGCTTTTCAAATGATTTATCTACAAACATCATCATTAAAGTCTGTGGGCATTTTGGTAAATAAATCATCTGAAAAGTTCATCCCAAAATATTAAATCATTGGAAAGCTTACTCAAAAATATTAAATTAAGGCCTATATTTGTTATAATATCAGCAGGCTCTGGATGCAAGCTCACACTGTACACATACCTGGACAGTTAATGTGGAAGTCAAACTTCCTTATTGTGATATTGTCATTTGGGAGGGAAGGCTTATGTTATCATGTAATTTTCCATTTTTTGAAATCTACATAAACACTTCAGTCAGCTCAAGTTATTATGGTGCTGTGCTTAGGGGTGAGATCATGTAGAATTTTCACATCAGTCTGTCCTAGTGTATAATAAATATTGTAAATTACACTCACACCACACACACACTCACACATCTTCCTCTTCAATTAGGAGTAACCCACCCAAGTCTCATAGACCTACAGGTGTAATGAGGAACATCCGTGTCTGAGAGCTCTAATACTGTAATAACTGAGAAGATGGGTGTTGACTACCTTTCATTTCATACATTCTCCTCAGAAAAGTTGAGTCCTCAGCATTGCAGTCTTTTGAAAGATCTTGCAAGATGTATCTGGTGATTCATTCACAATCTTTGTGATGTTTGAACTTTGTTAACAGAAAGGAAGTTGTGATCATGTGTGGAAATTTTAATTCCTGCTGGTAAAAGCTATTGAGAACCTTATGGACATCTGTCTTGAAAATCAATACAACAGTGTTTACAAAGTGAATTTCAAATTCTAGACCAAAACAGCCTATGATTCCTCATGTTTTCTATGCTTTAAATCAGCTATTTTTGCCTAACATTTTAATTTCCCTTTGTATTTGCTTTCAATGCCCAACAATTTACACTTTTGATGAATAATCCTGCCACAATGGCCTTGACTCTTCATTAATATATGAAATATAATATTCAAGAATAATATATACATTGGCATAGTCACAAATCCCCCATATGCTGCATTTTGGCAAACATGGAATCATAAGAGTGTTATTATTGTCTGCCCATATAATAATAGAGAACTTTGTCTCTCAAACCAGTTGTCAGGAAACACCAGTGGTCCAAACTATACTGAAAATCCCTATGGAACAGAAGTGGTGAATCCCTTAATTAGGAATTGGAGCTTTAAGAAGCACTGATGTAGAGAACATTGCGGACACAATATTCCTGTTGTACAATCATAATTGTATACATTTCTATTTCTTTAGGCAGTTGTAAAGCTTGAAGGTGGAAAACTATTGGTGAACTTTGACAAATACATCCATACATCAGAGATTGTCAATGGAAATTTGGTGGAGGTGAGCAAAATTATCATACTCTTTAGTCAGGTTACATCATCTGGTAGTTAGGTTAGACATGTGAGTCATTGAGGTCATCAACAGAAAGTCAATCATGCATGTAAAAGAGAGACGGTTATACGTAACACCAGTCTGAAGTGTATTGAGAGTTTATTCAACCAATGTGGACTCATAGGGTATTTGTAGGGTCAAAATGTTACATTCCTCATTTACATTAGGGCTGCTAACTTAGAGGCACAAGTATTTCTGTTTATAAAAGGATCACTAAAGGTACCCAGACAAGTTCATCTCAATGAAGTGGTCTTGGTGCAGTGGTCCTTTAGTTTTAAACCCCTGTTTTAAACCCCAGTTTAGTATATGCAATTGCCTGGTTAAACACGCCTTATCCCCAGCCATTAGAGGAGCTTCCGAAATGTGAGTGTGTGTTGCTGGCTTTTGTATGTTTACCTACATTGTCTGGTTCTTTGCGTTCATTAAATTCTCAGTGTTAAAACACAGTATTTAATACGTTGACAACCAGTTTTCATTATTTGGGTTTACTTTTCAAGGTTTGGTTTTTAGAAAACATATTCTCCAATAATTCTTGAGTTAAAGGCTGTGAATTGCAGTGCATGATTTTCAGCAATATTAAAGAACCTGCTTACCTTTGCCATCTCATCCAACTGAGACAGAAACCGTAAAAGTTTATGTGATCATATCTCTTAGGATGATATAATCTATGTACAAATATTTTAGACTGCCTGCAAAGTAACCTTCAATACAACATGTGTGTTTTTTTATTTCAGACTTCTGTTGCTGGTGGTGTTACTTTCAAGAGAATCAGTAAAAGGGTGGCATAAATAAATATTGGGTTGTATTTCATTGTTCAAAAATATAAAATGTATCAAAAATCAATAAAGCAAAAAATTATGTTCTTAAGAGCTGTATTTGTCCATTATGTTTTTTTTGTTGTTGTTGTATAGTACAACTTTTGTGGCATTTAAAAGTGCCCACCTGCAAAGTATTAAAGTATTTTAAGACTTTTCATTCAGATCGCAACTTAAAGGGCCACTCCAAGCACTATAACAATTTATGCTCATGTCCCAGGTTCTGCTACAAGCAGGTCCTCTATCCCTTTCTTTTTGAGGAGCCGATGCTTGCTTTAAAAAAAAAAAAAAAAAGTTATTCTTCTCTAACAAAAGTGCTTACGATGCCACAACAGCATAAGCAAGCAAGAATATCAATGTAGTACATACACATGGCATTGAGAAGCTTGCTTTTAATAAATCCGTTTTCAAAAATCACTGCATATCAAATTGATCCATGCAAAAAAATAGTCCAGATACAAAACGCTGGAAAACTCTCTCTGCATGAGAATTACAGGAACCCCAAATCATTCAGTCTTGTTGGGCCTTTTCAGTTGGTGATTAGCTGATATTCCTCCAGGCAGAGTGAGCAAAGGGTATGTGCGTTATCATTTTACCTTAGGTATTCCTTAGTCGTTTGCACTTTGTTTGGTTTGTTTGTACTTTTGTTTGTGATCAGCCTGATACGAAAATGGATTAGGCTTTTTCTCTAAAGGCACATAAGTTAAAACCAACTTGAGAACCAAGATGGGAAGCACAATAGGGTAAGCGGTTTGTGTTGTTGCACATTGTGTGTATTCTCTTGCGCTGTTGTTAAAAGGCTTCATCTCCCCTGTGTCCTAGGCCACTCGTAAAACTAGAGAAACACATTTAATGTACTCAAAAGGAAGAACATGTCAACATGAGGATGTCAGCAAAGTAAATCTTTTCTAAAAAGGAGTGTCTTAGAACTGCGCTAAAATACATTACAGAAAAAAACATAACAATGTACCTAGGCAAGTTCCATGTTCTTGTGATTAATGTAATGCATGTTTCCGATGACAGGTTTGTGTTAATGATCTTCCAAATTATCTTGGGAGATGTCTACCTAACTTGCTCTTCATTCCCATTAGAGTTGCAGCTCCTATTTCTTTTACAAGAAACCTAATCAATTCATCCCCCCCAGAATATTTAAACATATGTTAACTCATTCCATATTTAGGGATTGCAACTGTTCTAACCTGCTAATACTTGCTAATTAAATACATTGGGCTTGAATAAGGGTTCATTTTGAAAGATTCATATTGTAGAGTTACTGTGACCTGTATACACATTAACCCTGTAAAGGTCTTAAAGAAAGGCTTAGTTACATAGTTATGTTGGATCGCTCCCATCAGAGTATATGAAATAATGAAAAAATATTTAAAGCACATTAGGTGGATGTTTAAAATATCTATTTTTATATAAAGTCACAATATATAACATTTAATCAGTAGTTATGCATATCTATATATTAACAAGGTCCTTGACACTATGACATTGACTTAGTTTTAAATTACACTGTCTGGGGATTACCATACCCCCAAGGACAGATTATTTTATGATGACATCTGTTCTGATTGTAGTAAACTGAGTACAATGTAGGAAGGGAAGGGCAGAACAGAACAGACGTCAGTGTACTTTTCTGTGGCATGCTTCGGTGCCAGTAGTGAATATCCTTAAAGATAAGTAATCCAGAGCTTTATAGCAGGTGTGACATTCCAAGGAGGTTATCTAGAGTATAAGAGTAAAAGATTAACAGATATCGAGATTTGTATGTAAAGGTTAGAAAATATAATGCAATAACACTACAGGGAATGGAGCATTTTTTCTGTTTTAATAAAAATGTTAAAAGCAGAGTAAAGAATTTATCAACATAAAAAGAAAGTAACGATGAGGGCTTAATTTGGGAAGTTTACTAGCAATTTTCTAAAATAGAATACATCATCAGTTATCTATATTTCTAAATAGGTGGTCCATTTTATTGAAAGGCCTCTTTTTTGTCCCTCGCTCCTCAGACACTAAATATCCAAAAATGGCAGATCTAATTTGCATATGTCATTATAAAATAAAATATGGGATTCTAAGATAAAAAAAAATGATTAAGTGATCTAGCTATAATTTGGCTCAGCTGAAGCATGCAGGGGGGAGGGAAATGGGGATGCAGATGGCAGCAAATTTATTTATGGAAGCAGCACACTGCCATTTTCCTCTAGGGACAGCTTATCTTTCGAGATAGTAGCAGATAGTTTGCGTACACTGTCCTGGATTTCCAGAGGTGGTTCCTGATATTTTTGGTGTACAGAATGTTTGATACACAACATCTTTCGGTCTCACCAAAAATCTGTATGGACCTCCTAAACACTTATGGACACTCATCCAGAAAATGTTTTACTTATTTTCTGTAATAAAGGACATTCTGTTGTACAACGCTTTATAGAGCAAATTTAGTAGCTTAAACTGGAGAATTTAGAGTGGCAGGCTAGGCAGAATCTCCATGGAAACCATGGAAATGTCACTGCTGGTTTCTGAGTTTAGTGCAGTGACCTTGAGTTGCTGCAGTGTATCCCAACGTTTGTTGTGTATGTTTTGCTGTTGGCTCTATGCCATATGGTGTTAATGGGATGAAATGTGCTTTGATGAGATTGATTGAGCATCTGTTGTCACCGCAAAATGCAAAAGAAGTCACATGAGGGGTTTCTACTGTTTTGGTGGGTAAGAGAAAGTAGGGCTATCTATGTAAGAAGATGGACAAACATGCATATTGCCTTACTCAGTGCACAGTTTCTCAACACATCTGTAAAATTCTCTTCACCCATGAATATATTCTGTCATTTCTAAAAAATTGTTGGAGTGCGTTGGATGTTCAAAGAAACCCAACGATGCTACCTAAAAGTGATACAAGTGCTTTTGCCAGGGCATCCTGAAAGCCATTACTGATAATAGGGCTTGACGAATTATGTCATAAAACACTAATCCATTGGTAGATATGACACATCATACTTCCTATTGCAAGCTCTAAAATTGCTTCATGTTCCAATCAATAATAACAAAGTACTTTGAAAAATAAACAATTTTCTTGCTTTATGTGCACCGTGTCTTAAATTTAAGATATGTACAATAACATCCATTCTGTACATAACCTCTGAGTTTATTTTGTCTTCTGCCTTATTTGTTAATATGTATAGCACTTGATGTGATAGTGCCTTGTTTATAGACATTTGATTATGGGTCAGAGTTCTGTAAAATGCTAGAGGAAAATTCCATTCTGTCTCAGCAACTATAGGATTATTGCATCCAGGTACAATGTTAAGAAATGTCTTGAGGTCATCAACACCCTCAGTAATGATTCATCAGACTGCTGAGCTGGGATTGCTCAAAAAGGGAAAGTGACAAATGTGAAGGGTGGGTTTATTCCAGTGATGGGAAGGTTTTTCCATGCTACAATATATAAATGGATTTTTACTTGATCTGGGCATCATAGCTGGATACCTGGCTGCAATTATAAAATGTCTTTCACTGGAAAGTATGAAGTGGAGACTCAGGAGAATTACGATGCTTTCTTGAAGCTTATTGGTAAGTAATGAAGTTGCAGGCACAGTAAGATCTCATAAATCAAAGCAAAGTGCTCAACTTTTATATGCAGAGACACTTAATAAGAAGACTGTCAAGTTATGTAACAGAGTCCTGAGTTATCTGAAATATATTATCAATGGAAGGAGTTGGGAATACATTGGCAGAGCAGGTGATAAATGAAAGGAGCATGTTAAGAACATAGATGTGAGATCCAATATGAAGAATTTGACATGTTTACATTTTACCATCTATGTCAGCGTCCTGAACTGCAAACCAATTACTATAAAGGCTGGCTCATTCCTTTAATATGGTTTCCATCCAGCCCAATAAATAAGTGCAATGGTCAACATGTTTGTTGTCATGTAATCACTGGCATAAGTGTTTATGAGCTGCCATGTTAATGGGTCATAATAGTGGACGTTTGCCGATGCCTGAAATGTGTCAGTTTACACCTGGTTGGCTGATGGTGAAGTGGTTGTGGTTGTTTAGCAACGACCTGAAAGTAACATTTTTCCAAAACCAGACTTATGTCATCTTCATTGTTAAGAATAAATGGCTATCATTTGTAATAGGAAATATATTTAAAAAAATTAATCTTTAGATCACTAATGTCCACCAATGTGTGGAAATCTGTTATTACATTATGACATTAGTATATGATAACCATCATAGATAGTGCTACCATAAAAGCAGATTAAAGGGAAGCAATTATTTAAAATTCTTCCTCTGGTGTTATGCACTAAAGCAATAATGCAAAAAAAAAAAAAAAAAGATAATATTTTTTAAAAATGAAAACAAATTCTTATATTCCAAGATCCTGGAGATGCACAGATTGAGTGAACTGACTGCAGCTCCAGCCTGTGTTGATGGGATATGTAGTCTATCACCATGCAGCAGTTTCACCCGTCACATAAGATAAATGGAACTGCTTTTTAAGCTGATAGCAGCCATACTGCATCTGCTACCATGGCTGCTTCACAATTTTGTAGAGCTGCCAATTGAACATGCATATAGCATGAGATAGCAGCCCTACTTTTGCTTTTGGCATGTGCATACTCCATGTACAACATGGATAACATTGTTATAGGCATCCTGGGGCGGAGAGTTCTCACTGCATGGCTGACAGGTCTGAGGCTGCAGGCTATTTGCAGTCATTTTTTACATAACATTGCACTTATAAGCCACTCTTAGAACTGACAGTGGGTGGAGGATACATTCTTTTTTTAAATTTCATCTTTAGTAAGATTTTATAGAATATTTTTTAAAGGGTACAGAAAAAAGGGGGAATATACAAACATAAAATATATGAATACATATAAAATCTGTTCATCAAGACCTAATAGACTTATTGAATATTGCTTCTATGACACACTAAAATGACGATCCAGCATGACCATACAGAACCATAGAATCATTAAGATAAACTCAATTTATATAAACCTTTTATGTATGTAAATCTTTGATATCTATCCTCAAAACTTTGTAGTGTTCATTTATGAAGAAAAAAAAAAGGACAGAAAACAAATAGACAAGCAATTATAATAATAAATAAATAAAACTTATCCCATGATTAATAAGGTTAAAGTATTTTTCTACTTCTATACTATGTCGCTCTTGGTGAGAGACACCTACGTCCTACTTTGGGAAGAGATACAACACCAATTCACGCCCATGACAAACATATATCGGTTACATTAAGTGGATGGAATCCCATCTGACTATTATTTCTTTAACCAATATTGTATCCAAGGGTCCTATATCCTCAAATATTTTCTTTTATGGCCCTGGGTCGACCTATAAGGGTCTTCCATTTGCCTCATAACCATGACTCTGTCAACCCATTGTTTCACTGAAGGTGTTTGACTCTGTTGCCAAATACAGGAATAAGTATGTTGGCTTTGCAAAGGAGTAACCACAATAGTATTTGTTTATCTTTGTGCTGGTATGTATTAGGCCAACCCAACAGTATCTGTTAAGAGTTGAGGGCAGTGGAAGAATCTTATTAACAGTGGTAATTACTCCCTTTCAGAAATCTCCAATATTCTGGCATAACCACCAGATATGCTCCATGTTTCCCTTCTTCACATCTCCAACAACTATCACTAATTTCAAGCTACATATGGTGAAGTTGGACTGGGGTTCTATACCACCTAGTAATACGTGTGTAAAAAGTTTCCCTTTTCATCAAACTCACCGAGACTGTCATCACCCTTTAAAAAATATTTATCCAGTCTTTATCTGTAAGATGTACATGTAGTCCCTGCATCTATTGTCTCTGGAAGGATGGTTCTCCTACCCCATAAGATCCAGTCAAAATCATATGGTAGATTTTATATAGTGAGCGTGTATTGTCACCTAAGGGACTACATTACACTTCAAAGGGAGTCTCTTCCCTAGGTCGCCAATAAGGATTAACTGATCTCTGCAAAAAACTTTTTATTTGCAAATGTCTCATTATATCTAATAATGCATCAGATTTCTTAAAGTTAATAATTTTAAGTGTATCTTCTTCTGTCACTGCTCTTAAATTGGGGTTTGCTACTCCAGTCAATCGTACTATAGTAATCGATCCATTTCCTCCCTGAAAGTCGCAGTTATTTGCTATTGGGAAATAGGGGGATATTCCTGGTAAGAGTCTCCAGTGGGTTTTATGATGTCTCCATTTTGTCAGAATGTTATGTGTAAAAGGATGTGTCTTCGATGATATACTTTGTAATTGACACGTTTGCCAGGGAAGTGTATATAAGGGCACTGGGGAAAGATTTTGTTTCAATTTATACCAAGGTTTCTTCATATCTTTATCTTTTCATTCCCTAATTCTAGTGAAGAGGACTGCTACATAATATCGATGCATAAGAGGTAATTCCAAGCCTCCCTTGCCTCTACCTTCTTGTCAGTATAGTATATGCTAGTCAAGCCTTTTTATGACCCCAAACATAAGAGGTGGAAATTGCTTTTAAAGTACAAAAAATTGAGTATGTATAAAAATAGGGAGGACTTGAAAAATGTATATTACCTTCGGGAAAATCCTCATTTTAAATATATTTATTCTGCCGAAGAAAAAAATAAGGCAAATACCATTTTTGTAAGGTCTGCATGTATCTCTTCCAATAGGGGGAAATAGTTCAGACAGTAGATTCCATTGACTGTTGGGGTAAGACAAATCTCTAAATATTTAAATCCTGTAAGTGGTAATTTAGACATATATTTTGAATGCAGCTGCGATTTCAATTAATCTTACAATTTCATAGGGAACTAACTTTTCAATTTCTATCAAAATATGAGGCAAGGAACTATTTGGATCAGTAAGCCTTTTAAGGCTTTATCTGCATATTTTCCACTCCTATTGCTCTGGGCATAAGAGAGCATATTCCGTAGATCCATTCGTAAGGCAGTAAGGCATTGAAATGTTTCCTGGTCAGGGTTCGATTTATGTGCAGTCTCCTCCAAATAAATAGCTGTCGATAATGATTGGATCTTAGCTAAGCGTTCTTTTTTTATTCAAGAGCCCCCAATATAAATAATTAATAAATACATGTTGCAATCGTACCACTTACGGTGCTTAAAGTGACCCTTTAAGTGAATTTTTATTAACCTAATTGTTCCATTAAGACCAATTTGTGGATGGAGAAAGACCTGTATAGACCTGAAGTATCAAACAGACTTGTCCTAATCTTACAAAAGCCAACATGAATTCATGCATTTATGCAGTATTTGACACCAAAACATGCCCTTGTAAGCATGATACCAGTTGCTGAGCACACATAAACACATGTCTATCTTATATCTATATTCTTCCTCTCCTTCTGTGGAGAAAGAGAGATAGTTAAAATGAACAAAGGAGGTCATAGGATATTGGGAAACGCCTTTTTTTATAGCCAAATATCAAAGAGAATTAATTCTTTGCATTAGCTTTTGATTATTGCTGTATGTCTGTTGCAATGTACTTATTTAACAAAATTAAAGGTAGAATGTCCTGTGTACCATCATGACCATCCTGCAAGGAGATGTCTGCTTCTCCTGTTCCTCAAAGATCCCATAGTTTTTGGTATGGCTGAATTTTATTAGCGCTACCTTTTTTTGGGGCGGGGGGTTGGGGTGGTTAATCTTTTTATTGTGATAGATTTTACAGAAATAGAAAAATACAAATGAGACCATGCAAAAAATTGAGAAAAAAATTGAGATCATGCAGGCCACTCTAGAAATAACAAAATAAACAAAGCACACAATTGCAGAGTTCAAATTAAAATATCCAGTCTAGCGATGAGTTTTATTAGAGATGAGTTCCTTTAGCTTTATTTTCTTGGAAACCATTTAAACCTAAAGCCATCAGTGACATCCGCAGTCTAAGTGCTAACCACAGGCTTTTCAGAACTAAATCTTCTCTAGCACAGCAAAAAAACATTTTTGTTACTCAATTAACTCATTTGGATGTAAAATTGCCAAGGAGGGTGATGCTAGCTGAGTTCTATAGAACATGATTCTACAACAACCTACAATTTTTCTTAATGTTCAATTGAAAATATTAATTTTTTTAACTTTATATATATATATATATTTTTTTTTTTTTAAATATGATAGGCATTCCTGATGAAGCCATTGAAAAGGGAAGAAATTTGAAAATGGTCACAGAGGTAGTACAGAATGGCAATGACTTCACCTGGTCCCAGATCTATCCAGGTCATACAACGACAAACGAGTTTACCATTGGACAAGAGTCCGATTTGCAGACAATGAGTGGTAAAAAGTTCAAGGTAAATATCCCATCATGCAAAATGCTCACATTTGAATGAAGAATGAACTTTGACGCCAGGACAGATTGATGGGAATATCTAATTACATCCAAAACCACTCTAGTAAAACTGTTTATTATGAGCACTTGTATATGAATAATAATTTACATGAATAGCTCATTCTCACCTCTTCTCCCAAAAATTGCAGATCTTCAGAAGATCTAAATCCAACACTTCACTGCAAATGTACGAATGCATCCTCCTCGGTATTGATCACAATGTGTTTCCGCTAGAAGCAAAAACATCATTCTAGAAGCACTCACCTACCCATAACTATTAATATTATCTAACCTTACTTTTTTTTTCTTGAAGCATTAAAAGGGAGTTATAACTTTTCAGGATATTTAATATTCTCTTTATTAATGCCCTATATTAACAATATGTATTTTGTTACATATACAAAATAAAATTAAATGTAAGAATGAACTATTTGCTTTCCTCCAACTGGGTGGATCCATCCTAGTTCCCTGTCAATTATTACTGTAAGCTCTATCCTTGTCATTTTAGAGAAAGCATACAGAACAGAGAAGAAATTAAACATTGTGTTTAAAGAATTACTATAGGGTCAGGAACACAAACATGTATTCCTGAACCTATAGTGCTAAACCCAACATTTAGGTGGCCTGCCTCCCTATAAAAGTTTAAAACTCACCTTATTTCCAGCGTTGCGTGGGTCCACCGGCGCTGTTTCCCCCCTTTTTGTGATATCATCAAAATGTCAGCTTTTTATCCAATCCAATGTTTCCCACAGGAAAAGCATTGGATTGGCTACAATCGGCACGGGGGCAGGGCCAAATGCAGTTTTAGCCAATCAGGACCTCCTCATAGAGATGCATTGAATCAATGCTTCTCTATGAGGAAAATTCAGTATCTCCGTGCAGAGTGGGGACGCTGAATGGTAGGGCTGCTTACTGTGCAGCACTGAGCCAGGAAGCCCCTCCAGTGGCCATCTAAGGAGTGGCCACTTGGAGGTGTCTCTAGGGGCAATTTAAACATGACCTTTTCTCTGAAAAGGCAGTGTTTACATGGAAATGCCTGAAGAAAGCTATTATACTCACCAGAACAACTACATTAAGCTGTAGTTCTTCTGGTGACTATAGTGTCCCTTTGATTGTTCTCCTCATTTGCAACACGTGTTCTAGCTTTACCTAGAGTTAACAGGCTATGATATAATTTGCTAATGTCAATTGAAAAGAAAATAGGTCATCACATCACAAAAGTTAACAGAAACCAAAGTATAGTTGATTTTCAATGTTTTGATAACTTATGTAAATTCCAGAGAAGTGACAGTTCCCTTTTGATGTTTGACATGCAGGTTTATTTTTAGGGCATATTCTATTTCCCCAACCAGCTCCTTAAAAGTGAATGGGTTGCAATGCCCTGATGGTGGCTTTTAGTGTTAGTGTCTTACAAATCAGTGGGCCCTTGAGCGGTGGTACCAGCAGCATCGCTGGATACCTCCGCCTTTCCTTCTGTTTTACTCAACTTCAAGAAGATGAAGATATATAAATTCTGACTTCTCTTTATAGCCTTATTGAATCATATTTCTTTCCTAACTTTATTTAATCCCTTAATATATGTCCCATTCGCAGTAATTGATTTTCATATGATATTTTAGGCAACTGTTAGACTTGAAGATGGGAAGTTAGTGGTTGATTTTGAAAAATACCACCATACGTCAGAAATTGTTGGTGGAAAACTAGTAGAGGTAAGTGTACTGACATTAACTGAAAAACCTGATTAGGAAAAAAAAAATTCATGTACTAATTTCCAAACGTTTTATTGCTTTTTAATGTATTTCTTTTCTCTTGGAAATATGTACTGAGCAAGTACATGCCCAGAGTATTGCATATAAATGTTTAAGTATTCTGAATAGCCCTATTTTTTAATTTTGGAAATCAGTGATCGATCTGGAGAAAAAATAATCAAATACTATTAAGACTGCATTTATTAGAATATGATGTGCTTCTATTTGTTGCTTTTTTCAGACATCCGTGGCTGGTGGTATTACCTTTAAGAGGACAAGCAAGAAGCTGGCATAAAGTGTCCGCTGTTTTATTTACTGGAATAAATAATTCAATAATTTGCTTCAGCATTATGCACCTATGGTCAGTAGGAACAAATGGAGATTCACTGCACAGGCTGTGTCAAGGTTTATAATGCATAATGCGAGCTTCATATAAGACCACCTCAAAGATTCCATCTATTTTGATTTTAATTAAGTTTTCAAGCAGTACCGAACATCAAAAAGTAATGTAGCAGTAATGTGAATGTGTTGCACTATTCTTATTTACACTTTCATCAAATCATACAAATCACACTAGACTTAAAGGGACATTATAGGTACCCAGACCACTTCAGGTCATTGAATAGGTCTGGGTGCAGTGTCCCTGTCCCCCTTATTCCTGCAAAGCATTCAGGGCAGGAAGCACTGAGAAAGGTCTTGTTGCTCAAAACGTTTGCTAAATATCTTTGTTCTTCAATAAATGTGGTACTTGTTGCACAGCATAGTGGAGTGCTTGCCTCTTTTTTTCATTTCTGATTTTGTGTACCCACTCATGGAGCCACAGTGTGGGGGGATAGCAGCACCTCAGAGATTCTTTTGATTATTGCATTGTTTAAAATGTTTGTTGGCAACTAGTATATGTGATCAAATGTCTAGTATATGTGATCAAATTCAAGGTAACAATAGTCAAACTGGAAAAATAATTTCAGCAATGCTTTAAATTTGACTACTCTGGCTTTAAATTTAAAATTATCTTTACATTCAATTTGAATTCTCATTTTAGTGAATAACCCTGTTAGACAAAAACAGCTGTTATTGAAAATTTCTCGAACTCAGCTATAGTAACAGCCAGAGGCAGCTCTCTAAATAGGCGATTTAGGCAACACCCTAAGGCCTCACACGGTGTGGGGCCTCGCGGCCGCCTTAATCACCTTAGGGATGACTGGCCTGTCGGGTCCTTGATCCATTACAGAGGGTCCGATGCAGGGGGAGCATGGTGGCTTGCACTTTATGCCGCTGGGTGCGAGGCCCCTCTATTTAATCTGCCCTAGGAGAGAGTCAGCGCCTCCAGTCTGCAGCACCTCTGGTTCCAGAGATGCAGACTGTGAAGTGTCCAATCAGAACATTGCTGCAGGTTACCACAGCAACAGTTTGACACTTATGGAGATTGGGAGACACAGCTCCCCCACACACCCTGTCACCCACACACACCCTGTCACCCACACACACTCTGTCACCCACACACACTCTGTCACTCCACAAACCATGTCACAGCCCTCCTTACAACCTGTCACCCATGCACATCCTGTCACAAATCTCCCACACACCCTGTCACAGCCTATCAGACACCCTGTCACAGCTCCCCCACACACATTCTGTCACAGCCCCCCGTACACCTTGTCACCCACACACAATCTGTCACAGCCCCCCCACCCTCTTACAGCCTCCTCTACACACTGTCACAGCCCCCCTACACACCCTGTCGCAGCCCCCCACCCTGCCAAAGCCCCCCGTCACAGCTTTCCACCATTTCAGAGCCCTGCACACACCCTTTCACAGTCCCCCACACACACCCTGTCACAGCCCCCCCCACCCTCTCACAGCCCCATCTACACACTGTCGAGCCCCCTACACAGCTATCCCACACACATACGATCCCAGACACATGCTTACAAAGAAAGACATTCACACACAAGGATACTCTCTGTCAGACACACATTTTCAGGCACATACACAGATAGACAATGTCAGGCACATTCTGAAATACACATAGCCAGATACACATTGTGACAGTATGTTTGGATTTATCAATGTGTGTGTGTCTGTGCATCAGTATGTTTGTGTGTGTATACATGTGCGTGTATCAGAGTGTGTATACAGTGCCTTGCAAAAGTATTCACCCTCCTTGACTTTTTACCTATTTTGTTACATTACAGCCTTAAGTTCAATGTTTTATTAATCTGAATTTTATGTGATGGATCAGAACACAATAGTCTAAGTTGGTGAAGTGAAATGAGAAAAATATATACATAAAACTATTTTTTAGAAATAGAAAACAGAGAATTGACATGTGCGTATGTATTCACCCCCTTTCTTATGAAGCCCATAAAAAGCTCTGGTGCAACCAATTATCTGCAGAAGTCACATAATTAGTGAAATGATGTCCACCTGTGTGCAATCTAAGTGTCACATGATCTGTCATTACATATACACACCTTTTTTGAAAGGCCCCAGAGGCTGCAACACCTAAGCAAGAGGCACCACTAACCAAGCACTGCCATGAAGATCAAGGAACTCTGCAAACAAGTAAGGGACAATGTTGTTGAGAAGTACAAGTCAGGGTTAGGTTATAAAAAATATCCAAATCTTTGATGATCCCCAGGAGCACCATCAAAGCTATCATAACCAAATGGAAAGAACATGGCACAAAAGCAAACCTGCCAAGAGACGGCCGCCCACCAAAACTCACGGACCGGGCAAGGAGGGCATTAATCAGAGAGGCAGCACAGAGACCTAAGGTAACCCTGGAGGAGCTGCAGAGTTCCACAGCAGACACTGGAGTATCTGTACATAGGACGACAATAAGCCGTACACTCCATAGAGTTGGGGTTTATGGCAGAGTGGCCAGAAGAAAGCCATTACTTTCAGCAAAAAACAAAATGGCACGTTTTGAGTTTGCGAAAAGGCATGTGGTAGTCTCCCAAAATGTATGGAGGAAGGTGCTCTGGTCTGATAAGACTACAATTTAACTTTTTGGGCCATCAAAGAAAACGCTATGTCTGGCGCAAACCCAACACATCACATCACCCAAAGAACACCATCCCCACAGTGAAACATGGTGGTGGCAGCATCATGCTGTGGGGATGTTCTTCAGCAGCTGGGACTGGGAAACTGGTCAGAGTTGAGGGAAAGATGGATGGTGCTAAATACAGGGATATTCTTAAGCAAAACCTGTACCACCCTGTGCGTGATTTGAGGCTAGGACGGAGGTTAACCTTCCAGCAGGACAATGACCCCAAACAGCAACACTTGAGTGGTTAAAGGGGAAACATGTAAATGTGTTGGAATGGCCTAGTCAAAGCCCAGACCTCAATCCAATAGAAAATCTGTGGTCAGACTTAAAGATTGCTGTTCACAAGCGCAAGCCATCCAACTTGAAGGAGCTGGAGCAGTTTTGCAAGGAGGAATGGGCAAAAATCCCAGTGTCAGATGTGGCAAGCTCATAGAGACTTATTCAAAGCGACTGGGAGACATGGGGACACTGAGATACTGGGAGACATGGGGACACTGGGACAATGGGAGACTTGAGACACTGGGATCAATCCATCTATACAGCAGAATCAAACCAAGTAGTTTTTTGGTTATTTTACAGCATTTTCTCTTATGTCATTCCTTGTGATTTACATCATGTGATGTCACCCATACATAATTAATTATGCAAATTAGTAAGGCCGGTATGTTTTTCCAAGAAAGGTGGCAACCCTAACTACTTTTCACATACTCTTGCTTAAGTATGGAATCTTAAGAGGGATGTATGGGAACAAAACTTGTGTGGACTGGCTGACAATGAATATAGTTAAGGTAATGATGAATTTGGTTTCTCTAAAACTGTGGCATGTTCTCTTTCTTCTACACTCACTACATACAGCTTTTCTCTGTCCCAGACTGTCCCAGGAGCTTCTGCCTGCTAGTAAGAAGGTAAGGAGACCAGTGGATCAGCAAGTGCTATGGGACAGTCCTAAGAAAGCGTTGAGCGAGCGCATCGTTAGATGCATTTATGCCAAGCTCCGGGTGCTGTTTGCATAGTATGCCCTTAGTTGGTCAGCCTGCATGATAGGCAAGCAGCCTGACATGCATTCATGCCAGGCCGGCCTTCCAATTCTTTGGGCAGACAAGCCCTCTTTTTGGGCATGTTCGCTCCTTTTGGCAGGTTACGTGATTTGCGTCAGTGGCCCACCCTTTTACCGTACCCATTGACTTCCTTCTTCACTGGACACTGCTCTTACGGGTTATGAATTTACTTGAAAGATGAAAACATAAATTAGACAGAGATTAGCATAGGGTATGGGTTTTCTTATAGCTGCTGTTTTCTTTCCCTCCAGCACCATCTCCATCAGATACATGACGCTTGGGAGTGTTTTAGTATTTTTGGTCGATAAGATTCTGTAATTAGGCCCTTCATAATTGTCAGCACCAGTAATATACATGCATATACAATACTTATGTCTATCTTCTGTCCGTACTCCCATCTGTGATGCTCGCCTTCAAGACTCCTCTATGGCTGCACCGTTCCTGTGGAACTCCCTTTCCTTCTCCGTTAGATGCTCACCCAGTCTCCACGCCTTCAAAAAATAATTAAAACATACTTTTTCTCAAAAGCGGATCAATTAAACTGTCAATAGCTCCAACCTGATTCCTCTCTTGCAACTGTCATTAAATAACACACTAAGTCTTCAGTGAATTTTATTCTACCAATCTACTTCTCTACTACTACCCTTGCCTTCCTATCACTAAACCCCACTCCCTCTAGCATGTACACTCATTGAGCAGGGCCCTCAAGCCCTCTCTTCCTGTGTGTCTAATTTGTCTGGTTACAATTACATGTTTGTTAGTCCACCCATTGTACAGTGCCAGGGCCGCCATCAGGGGGTGCAGTTAGGGCCACCCAATGGGCCCTATATCTTCAGGGGCCCGGTCATCGCTGTGGCCGTGTAATAGCGCGACCGGGCCCCTTTAAAAAAAAAAAAAAGCAGCCACAGCAAGTGCTGCTGGGAGGCAGTGAAGGAGAGCCGCACCGACTACTCTCATCAGCCCCAGCCACCCTCCTGTCTCTTACCTTTTCTTTGCAGGAGGGTGGCTGGGGCTGGAAAATGAGCTTTGTGTGTCTGTGTGTGTGTGTGTGTATGTCTGTCTGTATGTATGTCTGTATGTATGCATGTATGTCTGTATGTATGTATGTCTGTCTGTATGTATGCATGTATATCTATGTATGTATGTCTGTATGCATGCATGTATGTCTATGTATGTATGTCTGTCAGTCTGTATGTATGTCTGTGTATGTATGTATGTGTGTCTGTATGTATGCATGTATGTCTGTCTGTATGCATGTATGTATGTCTGTATATATGTATGTCTGTGTATGTATGTATATCTGTATGTCTGTATGCATGCATGTATGTCTGTCTGTATGTCTGTCTGTATGCATGCATGTATGTCTATGTATATGTATGCATGTCTATGTATGTATGTCTATGTCTGTATGCATGTATGTCTGTATATATGTATATATGTACATCTGTATGTCATTATATATGTATGTCTGTATGTCAGTATGAATGTATGTCTGCATATCATTATGAACGTATGTCAGTCTGAATGTATGTCTGTGTATGTCTGTATGCCATTATGAATGTATGTGTGTATGGATGTTAGTGTCTGTATGTCTGTCAGTATGTCTGTATGTATGAATGTATGTGTGTATGTATGTGTGTATGTATGTATG